TTCAGGACCATTAAGGCCTTATGCATTGTGATATTGAATCATGACAATACACACTGTAAAGAAAAGTTGCTGTCTTAGATTAAGTACAATCAACTTAAATGTTTAGGTCATTTCAACGTAAAATACATGAATCTGCTTTAAAGGGATAGTTCACTTTGAAATTAATTTTTGATATGTTTTAGCTTACCTCAAGGGCATCCAAGATGTAGGTGTCTTTGTTTCCGCAGTATTTTCAATTTTGATATTTTTAGGTGAAACCGTTCTTGTCTGTCAGTGATATAATGCAGGTCTATGGTCACCACCTCAAAGAGCACGCACAGAGAAGTCCAAATTAAACATGATTTAATGACTCGTAAATGTAAGTACACATTGATGGCCTAAGACACGAAACGAGCGGTTTGTGTGAGAAAACGAACAGTATTTATATCGTTTTTACCTCTTGAAACGCACAGACCGAAGCGCCGGCGCCCTCAGATCACTTAGACGTGGCTGTGTTTACAAGAGGTAAAAACGATATAAATACTGTTCGTTTTCTCACACAAACCGCTTGTTTCGTGTCTTAGGCCATCAATGTGTACTTACATTTACGAGTCATTAAATCATGTTTAATTTGGACTTCTCTGTGCGTGCTCTTTGAGGTGGTGACCATAGACCTGCATTATATGACTGACAGACAAGAACGGTTTGACCTAAAAATATCAAAATTGAAACTACTGCGGAAACAAAGACACCTACATCTTGGATGCCCTTGAGGTAAGCTAAAACATACCAAAAATGTATTTCAAACTATCCCTTTTAAAAAAATTAGTTGAATCTTGTAAAAAAGTTGAAAATTGCTTAACTTATGTTTTTACATTGCTGTAACTCATCAAAATATGTTGTCATAACTTATTGATCATATAATGTTTTACAGTGCATACATTTCCCCTTAATTCGGTTTAATGCAAAACATCTCATTTTCATTACTGTATTGGTAAAAAAAAAACATAATAGTATTTAACCTGTAAAGTCAATATGTTAAGCTAGTAATTTGTTTAATAGTATTAGTACTGCTTTTAATATTAGTACTGCATTTATGCTGATGAATATTGTGTGCGAAGTCCGAACAGGATGATTTTACTGAGATTACAGTATTTTTTGCATTACGATAATGAGAATTTAAGGAAATCTTGTCATCATGAAAATATTTTTAAATTGCAAAGCAAAAAAACTTTACTGTCCTCAAAAAAGGCTTCATATAGAAAATCAACAACATGTAATTTCATACTTTTTTCTTTTGATTTTGGGTTGAAATATGACCAGGACATGTTCATTAGTGGATTATTTTGGGACTTGCTTTTTAAAATAATACATTTCGCAACAAATGGAAGCCAAGTACTTTTCTGGGTATGAGTGATTATGAAATGACTAAATGTAATAAAAAGTATGTCTAAAGCTCGTTGAGCCAGAGCCGAACTACAGATTTTACACAAAAACATTTCCAACAAATATCACTTTTCACAAGGATCCGAGTCAAATTTGGTCAAATCCTTCAAGTTTATTCTGACTAAAACTCTATGAACTACTCTGGCAAAATTACAAAAACACTTTTAAGGAACTAAGTCCTCTCATTCATAATTTATGAGACATTGTTTTCCCTTTTCTCCTGTTGGAGTGACGTTTAAAAAGACCATGAAGTAAATGATTATGATAATATGATCAAGACCACAAACCAAACGAGAATTTCGAATATTTTACGGGAAAACATCTAATAAGAAGATGGACTTCAGCGAAACACAGCGAGCTAAGATAAAGGAGTGTCCAAACAGCCATGATGAGCCTCACACCTCACCGCTGCATCGCGGGGGAGACGTCTTTCCCAGACTGTCCTCCATTAGCATGAGAAAGACAGGAGATGGATCCCCTCGTCCCCGAGATCAAGCAGAGCCTCAAGTACCTGTGAAATGTTTCGACCCTCCACCCTTTTATCTCTCAAGTCTTCATGCAAATGCTGCCGTTTCTTCAACGGGCCCCGGGGCAGTTCCTCGCTCCAACAATGAGCATGGCCCATCTCGATCACAGGCCAACAATGAAGCAGATTACTAGTGGATTCCTGTTATAACTGAACAACCCTAATGGGAATTTCCATAGGATTCCAAGTCCAACGCAACACCGAAAGTGGACCTTTTGGAAAGCACAGTTCCAGGCCATTCCCAATAAGACACGTCCCTGTAAGACACCAAAAGGACCTACTTACAGATTTTAAAACTCCAGTGGCACGACATTATCAAACATGCCAGCGGTCTTCAAACGGCGGACTTGGTTTCATCCGGACCACTGCACATGATTGCGGCATTTTACCGTTTCTACAGTGTAAAGCGCTGAGGGCCGATCTTTCGGAGCCATTCAAGCCCTTTCCACAGCGAGTGTTGCTTCCCTCTCCCGCTAAAGACGTGAAGAGCCGCAGACGGCACGGTTATTAACAACACTAGCACAAACACGGCCAGCACACTTCTCCTAAAACACAGCAGAAAACGAGAACTATTTCGGACCGTTTAACTCAACCAGGTTTGAGACAAGCTAACATGTGGCGCATTTAGACGTTTTTCCCCCATACATTTCGCCTTATTAAACAGCATATTCAGAGCATTTCATAATAAAAAAATATAATTTGGAAAAATGGCAAGAGAAGACAAAAAACGTTGAAATTACTTGTTAAAGGGTTAGTTCACCCAATAATGTAAATTCTGTCAGGAATTACTCGCCCTCATGTTGTTCAACCCCGTAAGACTTTCGTTCATCTTCAGAACACAGATTAAGATATTTTTGATGAAATCTGAGAGCTGGATCACTCCTCCATACTAGTCCATAGGCTTCTTCAGGGATTGAACTTGCCGGCCTCGAAAAGTTATTAAAGACATTGTTAAAATAGTCCGAGTGACGACAGCGGCTCAATCTTAAGTTTATCAGGCGACAAGAATACTTTTTGTGCGCAAAAAAACACAAAAATAACGATTTTATTTCAACTATTCATTTCCTTCTCTGTGGGCCTCAAATGAGTTCACGTAGTGTAACAGCGCAGCGCTTCTGTGTTGTACGTCACACGCATCACGCACATGACTAGCGTCGGCCAATAGTGAGCCTGTGTGTGACGTACAACCCAGAAGCGCTGCGCTGTTACACTACGTGAACTCACTCGAGGCCCACAGAGAAGGAAATGAATAGTTGAAATAAAGTCGTTATTTTTGTTTGTTTTTGCGCACAAAAAGTATTCTCGTCGCCTGATAAACTTAAGATTGAGCCGCTGTCGTCACTCGGACTATTTTAACAATGTCTTTAATAACTTTTCGAGGCCGGCAAGTTCAATCCCTGAAGAAGCCTATGGACTAGTATGGAGGAGTGATCCAGCTCTCAGATTTCATCAAAAATATCTTAATCTGTGTTCTGAAGATGAACGAAAGTCTTACGGGGTTGAACAACATGAGGGCGAGTAATTACTGACAGAGTTTTCATTTTTGGGTGAACTAACCCTTTAACTTTGTTTTGTCCTCATGAGAGTTTTGCTTATCAGATTAAGGACATTGTTTGTTTTTAGTAGTTTATTACTTTGTGCAAAATATAAAAATGGTTCATAGTTTTCTTAAGAGGTTTTCTCAGTCACAAGGCCTTCTATGAGCCATAGACTTAGCCTGATAAAACATCTGAACTAACGTTTTTATATTCATTTCCATTTGGGAGAAATCCAATATTTATTTAGGTAAATATTGGTAAAAATTCTTAGACATCACTGCCATGGCCCAAGATTACAATCTTTGATGACTATTTTCAATGTTTAAGATATTTTCTTATACAAAGTGCTAGGGCTGCCCCGATTGAAATGTATAACATGATTTCCGCTGGGAAGGAAATGTAAGAGACCGGACCTCTTTGGAAACTTGAATTGAACACCCGACCCCGTGCCATATGCAATTGAAAAAGAGCAACAAATTCAGTAGAACTTTTCGTTTACCCAGTAAGAACTTGAACTGGAATTGATTATGATAGAATCTCCGGAAGAAATCCTTTGAACACGCAAGCATTTCCTCTTGTTTTTCCATGAACACTCCTGTGGCCACGTCTCACGGGTTCAATTAATCAAGAGATCAAAAACAGAAAGCTCTGTTTCGGCGATGGGTCACTCCACAGGACAGCATGTACCGCGTTTTATGGTCCCCAGAAGAGAAGCTTCAGGACTAACATCTTACACCTCCCCTAAACTCCCTCAAGATAAACTACACGCTCCAGCCATGCATATTTCATCACGGGCCACACAGATGGGATTGTTCTCTCCTGGACGTGTGCTGCTGCAGAGTCAAGTCAAAGTTAACATCTCACACATACACACTTTGTACTTAAACAACTCATTTTCTTTCTCGTTTTTCTCTGGAATGTCATTGAATTCTTCATGCTGTGCATTTCGCAAAAACTCTTTAACTTGACTTAACTCAAGCAAAGTCTAATTAAAATTCAAGAAGTCCAAGTGGATGCAATTGATATTCAGCTCATGTTGATAGGCGTGCTTCGTGAAGTTCACTTAGCCGACTACAAGTATGCATACCTAGTACAGATAATAAGACCAGACCCATTTCTCCTTTTACAGAATATTATGCTAATGTTATTTTACAGGCCTCTTGAGCCCTTACTGTACTCGGGCTTCTGGGAAAGGAGGGTGGATTGGTTCATTCATCTACAAGCATCGGTGTTATTTAGGTCAGTGGGTACATTGAAACATTTTTCTGAGCTTTGAAATAGTTGCGCGTTCGCAAACACAATGACTGGAAAGTCTGTGCCAAACACTCACGTTAAATCCAGATCCAAGTCTGAACGCAACTAAACTTCGCGTTGGCTAATAGTTTCACGCACATCTACGTCTAATAACTTTTTAAACATTCGGAAAAGAAGTTTCTACAAACATGTTGACCTGTGTGAGAAGCAGGAAAGCAGGGAAACGCTGATGGAGAGATGGATACTTTGTCTCTTACCTTCGCCGATCAGAGTAAGCGCCAGGAAAACAGCCTCGGCGTGTGCGAGTTCGCGCTCGCGTCTTCTCGTCCATAAACCCATGGTTGCAGAAGTCGATAAACGCGACGGGTGTGAATTAAAGGCTCAAAAGTGTATGTGTGTGTAGAAATTCTGCGGTTGTGAGTTGTTGTATAAAGGCTACAATCCAGTTACTCCTCGCGGCTAGTCTTTCAGGAGTTTCACTCTTCAGTTTGGAGCTGTTGCGGGTTTGGCTGGATGTGTCAAGAGCTCCATGCTGAACTGACCAGAAACCTCCTGGAAATGGAGACAAAGAGCCCCTCTGACCGTGTGCTGGAGCCAGTGCTGCTGGGGGTTTGTGTGAGAGAACAGGAGTCGTGTTTCTCTCTCCAGTGGGAGTGGATGGGAAGGTGGGTGGGCTTTACCCGGGCTCGAGGAAGGTAAGTGGAAACCAGTAACACACCACTGATGGGAAGTTAGTTTCACTCGGTTCAAAACATCTCATTTGGTTTATCTTATATTCAAGCATTACTTAAAATAGCTGCATAAGTGGGGATGATTAAAAGGATTGCAGCTGGTCTGAAATATAATTTGTTCTTCTTCACCATGACTGCCATCTATTGGCAGATCCATTCATTGGTTTCCAACTATGGTTTCCAATGGCAGCAGCTGACGTGCACTCTCAGACCTCACGTGCACGCGCAGCTCTCGGTGACGTGACGTGCACTTTCTGAACGAACTGAAAATTGCACTCTCAGATAGTATTGAAACAGTTACCCATTTGTTTTGGCACTGCCCTTTTGTCCAAAGTTTCTGGTCTGATATTTGTAATTTTATTGCAGAAAAATTTGAGAAAGATTTCCAGTTGTTTTGGAAGGATGTTCTTTTTGGCCTTTATGACCCCAACAGAACTAATAGGCCTTATGAAACCTTCATTATTAATCTCAATAATCTCTTGGCAAAATTTTACATTCATAAATGTAAGTTTGCGCATTCCAAAACATATTTTATTGCTTTTAACAATGAGGTCAAGCAATATGTCAACACGATTAAGTATTCTCTTAATCAAAAGGCAACAAAAACTGTGAATGTGTGTAAACAATTTGATATCTTTTTGTAAATCCGTACTTCCCCAGGCAAAATGTGATGATGTGAGTCTTTTGTTTATGTTTTGTTTATGTTAAAACACCCGCAATGTTGGAAACTGCACAATGTATTCTTTTTATAATGGAAATGTACGTTCCTGTAAACTGTGCTTGAATAAAAAAAAGAAAAAAAAAAAAAAAGTTCTGAAACGCAAAAAAAAAAAAAAAAAAAAATTGCACTCAGATCCCATTGGACTGCACTATATTAACAAAATAGATTTGGAGAAAGCATGGTTGTTGCTCCATAAAAATGAGATTTTCCAACAAGACCAAGGATGTCCACTTTAAAATCTTGCACAAAAGTATGCCCTGTAAAATTGACAGTATATCTAAACATGTTTCTACAACCTGTACGTCACTCACCAAATGCCAAAAGTAAGCAAGTATATGAAATGGTGTAAATCGCCATTTGGTCCCTGAACCGTTTTTATGAATTCTAACAATGCAATGTTGAGAGAACATGAACATGAAGAAACATGAAGAAAAAGTTTAAGCCTTGCCAATTTCAATATTCAAGTGCAAGAAGAGGCAAAAGCGAACTCGTCTCAGACAGCACGCGGATACTGAATTGAGCTCTCTTTCACGTCTTCTTGCGCTTTAATGGAAAAATTCACACTATATTATGTTTTGACGGCGAGTATCCTCGTAGTCAGTTACGGCTTGAGTGAATGTAAACAGTAGAGAAAGACAACGCATGTGTATATTGGATCCGTGCATTCGCTCTTAAAGTGGCAGTAGCCTAATTAGGCTATGACGCTGCAGGAAATTACTAATGTCTCTTGACTGAATAACTTTTGTAACTTTAATAAGGATTAATCGATGTTATTTGATAAAATGAAGACTATGCTGTGTCATTTTACATTTACATATATTAGTTAGGACAGTTCTAGCTGTGGTATTGAAATTGGAGGAGAGAATTGTGAATTGTTACTGGTATCTAAACTGTTAGTGTCATAACTGTCTGTTTCATGTCTTGTCTCCGGCCATTGGCAGGTGTGGGAAAAAGTCAGTTTTAGGCCCTTGTGCTCAATAGGATGAAACGTTGATACATTTAGTTACATTAATACATACTTTTCTTGTGGATTTATTCAGAAGTTTTGGTCTAAGCTGTACTCCTATATTTAAACCCCTTATTTTTTGCCCAATCTTTTCATTTAAATGATATTATTTGCTACTGTACTGACACTTCCAAGTATATCCTATATAATCCACATGTTGAATTTATTATTAGTATTTATCAATTATTTACCCATAGACAGAAGTTTTCAGGCTCACTTCCTACTCTTAATGTAGACTCACTTCTCAAATCTTTTTGGTTTAACCAGTAAAATAAATGTGACAGATGTCATTTGTAATGATCCTATTAATAAAGGTTTAGTTTTCCGAAGGTTTAGCTTTCCTCTGCCTATTGTTTTATTTATAAATGTATTATATTTTTTACTGTTTGTTTAACTATATATATATTTTTATATTTTACTCATTTACAAACACACATGTATATTGGATCCATGTATTACCTCTTAAAGTGACAGCAGCCTATTTTTCTGCTGCACTCATTGCTCTTGACTGAATAACTTTTGTAACTTTAATAAGGATCAATCTATGTTATTTTATAAAGTGAAGACTATTTTACATTTGATTACTTTATTCAGTGTCTCTACCTGAAAACTCAGCTCTAATTTACGGTAATTACGACATGGCATTAACGCAGCATGTACATGTTTAGTGTTGCATTTCTGAAGTATTTACAGTACACTCAGGGTTCAGAAAACCTGGAAAAGTTATGGAAAATGGAATAAAATGTTAAAAGCACATAACGTTTCTCTGGTTAATCTCTGCATGCTGGCTTAGAATGGCAAATCCTTCATTGAGCCACATTTGGGAAACTATAGACAGACAAATACATGGACATGGACGTGTAAATATGTCTTCGGAGACTTTTCGAAGCAGGCGTACCAAGTATAATCAATATAGTTTAAACATGCTCATCACAAGTTTGGTTATCCAACACCTTCACAACAACTAAACACAGTTTATAGTTTTTATTGGTATAAATTTATTCAACTCTGTATCTCTTTGTAAAGCAAGCTACTGTTAATATGCTCAGACAGTGCTCTATAAATAAACTTTTTTAGTATTATTACAGGCTTGAGAGTGCGAGTTTTAAAGTACTTTGACAAGGCAAAATCCATAATAGTACAAGCTTAAGCCATCAATGTTACAAAAGCAAGGAGTCATGTAAAAGAATATGCTAAGCACGTTGTACATTACCTAAAACACAACAATGAAATACACAAAGTAAATGCCGTTACGTCCTATAGTAATGGGATACAACACTGCTGCAAAGGGACATGTTTAGCCGAAACCATGGCTGTGTGTAGCCAACCCGCGCACGTCCCCTTACAGCTGATCATGTGGTCCACTCATCTGATGAAGAAAACGCTGTTTAGATATACTATACCTCTACACTGCATCTGAAGAAAAGAGATCAAGAACAAGCATACCCGTAAAAAACACAATCCCACACTATTATCCAACGTCTAGCAAATAACTGATTCAAACTGCACTACTAATATCAAAGTAGCAAATCCGATTGGCTCGTAAGATAAACACGTAGACTCTGATTGTCTGGTTTGATAGTCTGTTACACAAAGTACAAAAGATCGTATTTTACAAAAGTCTCCCAACACAGAATTTAAAACGACTAATTCTAAATACATGATGAGTATTGAGATTTAATACCCAGCTGAAAATACATATTTTTGAAATTAACTAAAACGTTTCGAGCCAAATATATAAAGCTATAAATCCCATTATTGGCTTTTCTTGGGCAACGCAGTTTTAGGGGAAACCCAGAAACACTATTTTCTGTGATAAAACAAACAAACAACTGAAAACGAAAGTAAATTCAAGTAGTTAAAACATTACAATCAAGCATAAAGGAGAGGAAGCGTAATGAATCGTCTTCAACCCCGGGTAGCACACATGTTTCTTTGCGTTCTCCAAGTTAAAGTAATGTCCGGGTGAAGTGTCAGCCACTGATATCTCTCAGCAATCCAGCGCTGAGCCTCTGTGCACTGCTAGACGCGTATGATCTGGAACATCTTTTGTGTAGATTCTTTACTCGCTGATTAAAAACGAATGTGTTCTGCATCACACTCACAACAACACAGCGGATGAATGGGTTTTGATTATGGCTGGCTCTGGCTTCGCTGATGCTCTGGGAGGTGTTCACGGGCCGCGGCGGATGAACCAGATCTCGTTCCTGCGCTGGGGCACGCCGGGGTTCTCGTACGCCGCCACCATGTAGCGGTTCTGGAGGACGTCCCCGGAGCGGCCCAGGAGCTCCCAGAGCACGCCGATCTGACGAGAGATGGTCTCCTCTGTGGTGGTCCCGTAGAACACCCTGGAACAGAAGCACACAGCTCTGAGAGTGGCGGATGGAGAAGAGGAGGGTGCTCGAATAGTCAGCTTTATTCATACAGCGCTTTTTACAACACCCAGTGTTTCAAGGCAGCTTTACAGTGATAAGAGGAAAATAATGCAACAGAGTTTGTTTCCAGAAGAAAATAGCGTCACAGTCCGGCTTAAAGGGTCAGTTCACCCGAAAATGAAGATGATGTCATTAATGACTCGCCCTCATGTCGTCTCAAGCCCGTCAGACCTCCGTTCATCTTCAGAACACAGTTTAAGATATTTTAGATTTAGTCCGAGAGCTTTCTGTCCCTCCACTGTAAATGTGTGTACGGTATACTGTCCTTGTCCAGAAAGGAAATAAAGACATCATCAAAGTAGTCCATGTGACATCAGTGGGTTAGTTAGAGTGTGTTGAAGCATCGAAAATACATTTTGGTCCAAAAATAACAAAAACTACGACTTTATTCAGCATTGTATTGTGTTCCGGTTCTGTTGTGGATCCGCGTTCAGTGACGCCGCTGACGTGTGTGTGTGTGTGTGTGTGTGTGTATGTATTCTGGTTCTGTTGTGGATCCGCGTTCAGTGACGCCGCTGACGTGTGTGTGTGTGTGTGTGTGTGTGTGTATTCTGGTTCTGTTGTGGATCCGCGTTCAGTGACGCCGCTGACGTGTGTGTGTGTGTGTGTGTGTGTGTGTGTATTCTGGTTCTGTTGTGGATCCGCGTTCAGTGCCGCTGCTGACGTGTGTCTGGTGTGTGTGTGTGTGTGTGTGTGTGTGTGTGTATTCGGGTTCTGTTGTGGATCCGCGTTCAGTTCCGCTGCTGACGTGTGTCTGGTGTGTGTGTGTGTGTGTGTGTGTGTGTGTGTGTGTGTATTCTGGTTCTGTTGTGGATCCGCGTTCAGTGACGCTGCTGACGTGTGTCTGGTGTGTGTGTGTGTGTGTGTGTTCCGGTTCTGTTGTGGATCCGCGTTCAGTGCCGCTGCTGACGTAAGACGCTGCTGACGTGTGTCTGGTGTGTGTGTGTGTGTGTGTGTATTCTGGTTCTGTTGTGGATCCGCGTTCAGTGCCGCCGCTGACGTAAGACGCTGCTGACGTGTGTCTGGTGTGTTTGTGTGTGTGTGCGTGTGTGTGTGTGTGTATTCTGGTTCTGTTGTGGATCCGCGTTCAGTTCCGCCGCTGACGTAAGACGCTGCTGACGTGTGTCTGGTGTGTGTGTGTGTGTGTGTGTATTCTGGTTCTGTTGTGGATCCGCGTTCAGTGCCGCCGCTGACGTAAGACGCTGCTGACGTGTGTCTGGTGTGTGTGTGTGTGTGTGTATATTCTGGTTCTGTTGTGGATCCGCGTTCAGTTCCGCCGCTGACGTAAGACGCTGCTGACGTGTGTGTGTGTGTGCGTGTGTGTGTGTGTGTATTCTGGTTCTGTTGTGGATCCGCGTTCAGTTCCGCCGCTGACGTAAGACGCTGCTGACGTGTGTCTGGTGTGTGTGTGTGTGTGTGTGTATTCTGGTTCTGTTGTGGATCCGCGTTCAGTGCCGCCGCTGACGTAAGACGCTGCTGACGTGTGTCTGGTGCGTCCGTGTATTCGGGTTAAAATAAATATGGCTGGGCAAAAAAATGCAAGTCTTCCTCTGTGTGGAAATCCTTAGACATGTTTGCGAAGATTGTTTTGTTTCCAGCGTGCGTCTCCCTCAGACTGTAAACGAAGCTCGGGCGCACCAGACACACACACACACACACACACACCAGACACACGTCAGCACACACACACACACACACACACACCAGACACACGTCAGCACACACACACACACACCACCAGAGGCGGACAGAGTACAGAGCTTTGTTACTTGAGTAAAAGTACAGATACCCCTTGCTAAATTTTACTCAAGTACAAGTAAAAGTACTACAGTCAGATGTCTACTTAAGTAAAAGTACTAAAGTACTTGTTTTTAAAAGTACTTGAGTATCAAGAGTACAAGAGTAAATTTTCTAAATATTGCATTAGTAATCTACTGCCACAGTGCTTACATTTAGGCACAGAAACGTCCTACATGGAGTTATGAAAAATGTTAATGTTAATACCTTGGAGAATGTAAAAGGAATTGAAAGTAAAATCAAGTCATTTTCATCTTTTTACCATGTTGCTTTATTTAATTTAATTAATTTTTTGGGGGGTTCCCATCTTTAAATGCGGGGACAACACACACACACACACACACACACACACACACACACCACATGTAAGGGTGGCGCTGCCAATAAAAAACCTAAAAGCTGTCACAAAGAATCGGCAAAAGGAATGATTATGAATATGTAAAATATAGCAAGGAGATATTTTAATTGTTTATTAATAAACACTTGTTAATAAACAAGTGTTTTCTTTGTCAGTGTCGGCTAGATGAAGTTGACGATGCTGACTCGCGATATTCAGTAGTGAACGCGCCAGAGAGAAATGCACATTTCATACGGATTACATAAGCAGAGAGCAGTCTGTAGTCTATTTTCTTTTCTTTCGTTTTGAATTTTTCTGTTTAAAAGTAGACATGTCTGTGAGAGGCAAGTAGGCTACCTTATACACTGAGTTTCGGTTCATTTATGAGACGAGATCCAGTTCACGTGCCGGCGCCTCCGTTTCTTATCTATTGTCTGCTATTTACTTCTTATTTATTAAACCCAGGCAATTGGTTGATGAAACATTGATTAAAATTAAGATACAATTAATGCAAAACGAAATTCAGGTTAAAGAAAGGTTTTGTGTTTTCTGTTTGATGTCTCTGTGAAAGTTTTAAAGCATTTTTTATGCCGCTTTCAGAGCGCTCACGTCCGTAACGGAGAACACGTCCATAACATTGTTTTTTCCTCATAAATGCAAACCCGAAAAATACAATAAAACAAAATTAATATTTTATGTACTGTGGAGACTGAGCGCCAACCCTTCTTCATTCGCTGGGTAGTAGCCTACTTTGGTTTGCGCAGTGTAATTCACATAATCAGTAAAAATATATTTTGCCTCCTAAAGTTTTTTTTTTAAGAAATCAGAAATCCCTCGTGGCTACGCCACTGCCACATTTGAACCTGACTGTGTTAAACACACCACATACTCAAGAACTTCAAACCAAATGCTTGGCTTACATTAATGTGTAATATAAAATCTGACCATGGAGTTGACTTTGGCGGAAAGCTGAAAGTGATTGCTGATAGGCTGTCCCAATCAGTGGCGCCTGCACAATCCAATCACGTTTGAGAGGGCAACAACAAATTGAGGGTTTCCGAGATTTTTCTTTTTCTTTTTTTTACTTTTTTTTTTTTTTTTTACTCGGGTACTCACGGTTATGGATAGAAATGTATTGGAGTAAAGAGTACAATATTTGCCTCTCAAATGTACTTGAGTAAAGTCATGAGTACTCCCCAAAAATGATACTCGAGTAAAGTACAGATCCCTCAAAATTGTACTTAAGTACTGTACTCAAGTAAATGTACTCCGTTACTGTCCGGCTCTGCACACCACACACACGTCAGCAGCGTCTTACGTCAGCGGCGGCACTGAACGCGGATCCACAACAGAACCGGAATACACACACACACACACACACACTCACACACACACACACACACACACCAGACACACGTCAGCAGCGTCTTACGTCAGCGGCGGCACTGAACGCGGATCCACAACAGAACCAGAATACACACACACACACACACCAGACACACGTCAGCGGCGGCACTGAACGCAGATCCACAACAGAACCAGAATACACACACACACACACACACACACACACACCAGACACACGTCAGCAGCGTCTTACGTCAGCGGCGGCACTGAACGCGGATCCACAACAGAACCGGAACACACACACACACACACACACACACACCAGACACACGTCAGCAGCGTCTTACGTCAGCAGCGGCACTGAACGCGGATCCACAACAGAACCAGAATACACACACACACACACAAGACACACGTCAGCAGCGTCTTACGTCAGCGGCGTCACTGAACGCGGATCCACAACAGAACCAGAATACACACACACACACACACACCAGACACACGTCAGCAGCGTCACTGAACGCGGATCCACAACAGAACCAGAATACACACACACACACACACACACACACACACGTCAGCGGCGTCACTGAACGCGGATCCACAACAGAACCGGAACACAATACAATGCTGAATAAAGTCGTAGTTTTTGTTATTTTTGGACCAAAATGTATTTTCGATGCTTCAACACACTCTAACTAACCCACTGATGTCACATGGACTACTTTGATGATGTCTTTATTTCCTTTCTGGACAAGGACAGTATACCGTACACACATTTACAGTGGAGGGACAGAAAGCTCTCGGACTAAATCTAAAATATCTTAAACTGTGTTCTGAAGATGAACGGAGGTCTGACGGGCTTGGAGCGACACGAGGGAGAGTCATTAATGACATCAGTTTCATTTTTGGGGGAACTAACCCTTTAAGTAAGTTCAGTGATGGTTCATTTCTGTTGTAAAAAAGTTATTAATTTAGTTCATTTATATATATTTTATAAAACCGTGATGTCATCGCCCAGTTCAGTTCTCATATAATGGTGTCAATGCAGCAGATCAATAATATTGTTGAAAGTGAAATGAAATACCTGGATATGACTCGGATGGCGTCCCGGTGGACGATGCTGATGTCCGGGTCAGCTGGTTGAGGCGGTCTGGCCTGGAACTCAGCGGGGAGATAATACGCCGTCAGCACATCCTTCATGAAGTTGGTGCCATCATCCGCCATTGTGATCTCATTCACAACAGGCACCGACATGCCAAGGTACCGTCCTGGAGACAGAGACAGATGAGCACACTGGCTGAACACGCTAGCACCGCATGTTGGACTAAACTATCATACTGAGATTATTTAGACGAAAACATTCAACTGCATCTGCGCTCTGTAGAGGAGTGATCACACTTGAGTTATCAGAGCCAAACTCAGACCTCTTTCAGCGGAGTATTCTTCAGTATGTGTTTGTTATTTAAAGAGCGCGTTAGTAATGGAGGGTCCACAATGCACACACTCTGCTTATTACACACACTCTGCTTATTACACACACTCTGCTTATTACACACACGGCTTATTACACACACTCTGCTTATTACACACACTCTGCTTATTACACACACGGCTTATTACACACACTCTGCTTATTACACACACTCTGCTTATTACACACACTCTGCTTATTACACACACGGCTTATTACACACACTCTGCTTATTACACACACTCTGCTTATTACACACACTCTGCTTATTACACACACTCTGCTTATTACACACACACACACACTCTGCTTATTACACACACGGCTTATTACACACACACTGCTTATTACACACACACTCTGCTTATTACACACACACACTCTGCTTATTACACACACACTGCTTATTACACACACACAGACACACTCTGCTTATTACACACACACTCTGCTTATTACACACACACTCTGCTTATTACACACACACTCTGCTTATTACACACACACTCTGCTTATTACACACACTCTGCTTATTACACACACACTGCTTATTACACACACACTGCTTATTACACACACACAGACACACTCTGCTTATTACACACACACTCTGCTTATTACACACACACTCTGCTTATTACACACACACTCTGCTTATTACACACACACTCTGCTTATTACACACACACTCTGCTTATTACACACACACTCTGCTTATTACACACACACTCTGCACTCTGCTTATTACACACACACTGCTTATTACACACACACTGCTTATTACACACACACAGACACACTCTGCTTATTACACACACACTCTGCTTATTACACACACACTCTGCTTATTACACACACAGACACACACACAGCAGCACACAAACATGCCAAATATTAAAAATAAAAGGATTACATTGTAAAAGATTATTATTGTGCACATGAAGATATGGTGGAATCCGGCTTTTCCCGTAGATGGTCACTTTAGTAACTTTGATTTAAATTTGATTTGATTTTGAGAAATTTTAACTAATTATACAGCCTAAAGGTGTGGTCATATATGCAAAATTTGATATCAAACATATAAGTGTCTCTAGTGTAGAGACGTATGAAGCACAGCTCACACAGAACTCTAAACCAAGCCGCTTTCTGTCCGTCTAAAGCGCTGCGAAATCTGCATATGGATTATATATATATTGTAATGAGAAACCTATATATTGGTTATATAATTTTCAGTTTTACACATCTTTACAATATTTTAGCCTATAGTTATACAAATATTACTAGTTTATCTTCTAAAGCCAGATACGTGCATTAACCACACCTGTGACAACCAACTAAAGGAATAGCTTCATTCCCATAAGTGTTCATTTTCTGCACTTTCTGGCTGTGTCCTGCAGTAAAGCTGAGATGAAGACGTGTGTGTGTGTGTGTGTGTGTGTGTGTGTGTGTGTTCACCTGTTGAATTCTCCTTGCAGATGAAGCGCATGAGCTTCATAAAGGCATTGGAGATGCTTTGCTCATACATGAGTTCTGCTTTACTGACACATGCCCATTTCCCCGCAGGATACACTCTCTCCTCGTACAGCACCTCGCCAAGCTGAAACACAATCAACCTCAGCATATATATATCACTATTTTAAATGCATCATTAAAAAAAGCTATTTTAATATATATGTATGTAATATTTTAATTTATTCCTGTGATCAAAGCTGTATTCCAGCATCATTACTCCAGTCTTCAGTGTCACATGACCCTTCAGAAATCACTCTAATATGAGGATCTGATGCTCAAGACACATTTATGATTATTAATAGTGTTGAAAACAGTTGAGCTGCTTCATTAACAGATATAACTTTTGATTTTAATAATCTATTAGTAAATGTTGAAATTAAGTTTTGTTGAAATTAACATTAACTAAGATTAATAAATGCTTTAGAACTAATATAGTTAACTAATGTTGACAAATTAAACCTTTATGTAAAGTGTTACCAAAAGAAATCACACTATCCCCAAACTTTTGTATCAAGGAATAATTTTGGATTAATCTGTTAAACATATTTATTTATATTTGAGTGCTACCTACTGTATGTATTTTCTTGCCTATCAATAAATCAGCATAAGTTGTGTTAAGATATTCTAGAGATCATCTCTGATTCCTTTCAAAGTGAAAATGTTGCAACTGTCCTATTCTACCCGTGTGGGACGTGTTTTGTCCCATGAGGATTTTACCTTCTCGTGTCTGGAGATGCTGACGAAAGGCACTTGCTCTCGTTCTGAGCTCTGGTTCCTCCTCGTCATCTCCTCAATGGGTCCTCTCATCTCTATACAAACACCAGATTAGATTCTCTCATGATTTCACACTGGGAAACTGGTCTCAGATCTGTGGGCTGTGGGACAGTGTGTCGTACCTCTGGGAACAGACACGTGATGTGTCCTTCCTACGGCCTGCCAGTGGGCGTACATTCGGTCCTGCTCCCCGTCATCCATTGGTTCAGAGCTGTCTGTGATGTCATCATCCACCTGCTCATCATCCAGTCCGTCAAGATCCTCAATAGAGATCAGAGCCATTGTCCAAAATGGCACAGCGAGCGACTGCGAATCGGGAAGCTCTGAAGACAGAAAACAAACTCAGATTCTCTCATATAAAGCGAGGGATATTGGTTTTAATATTAAATAATCAATCTGCCAGTGTTAACTTGCTCTTGGTGTATACACACACATACATAGGCCTATACATATATAATACGTTTTTCTCTTTCCATTACTGTTAAGCTGTCATTGCTGAAGCACTATGTTATGTTATGTTTTGTATTTTTATCCTTGTGTTATTGTTGTTTTTTAGTCATTTTGTTAGTAAAGCACATTGGCCAACTCTGGTTGTAGTAAATAGTGCTATAAATAAAATTGCCATTGTCACTACCATCATGTTGGTGTTGGTGGATTAGAAATCATGTTTTAATAAAAACATTAGCAATATCAGAGTTTAAACGATCAGCAATCATCGAAACAGAAAGCATAAATACGAAATAAACGGCGGTGCTAAGGTTTCATTCACATGCATAAAAACCTGATAAAAACACAAGTGATGTGAGACGACTGTTAGCGTGATTTCAGAAGGAAGACAAACTGGGAAAAACGCGACCCTCCCCGTACAATTGTTGAATGCACTTTATTATGATTGATATTTAGCACCAATCCTGCCCAGTAGGCGGAAATGTAAACATTATTTTTAAAAACAATGACGCCCGGTGCAAATATCACACACGTCAAACACTTCCGATATATCAAACTGATGGTCTGTGTTGTAGTCTAATATTTACCGCAACGTATTATAACGATAATAAAGAATACTTACCCAGCAGACACAACAAGCGCACGACAGCTCAAGCGCTGGGGATTGCAGAGCGCCTCACTGCGCATGCGCGGAGGAGTGCCCAATCATGCGCTGCTCTCGTGTTTGCAAACACCATTTTAGTGTTCCTACTGGGTCTTCTGTAGGATAGGCTACACTCTTCTGGAACAGGTCCAGCTCTGCGCTACTAAACTAGCCCAATGGAAAATAGGCCCTTGACCACATCCCAAATCAATAAAATACCTAAAATACTTATTTTGCAGTCAATGTTATATAAAAAGAAAACCACTGTAGTGATCATAAACAGCTCAAAGGCTCTCTACCAGTGGCCCTACTTCATACAAATTAAAGGGATAGTTCACCCAAAATTAAAATCCTATCATTAATTACTCACCCGATCATGTCGCTCCAAACCCGTAGGACTTCTGTTCATCTTCAGAATCAGAACACAAATGAAGATATTTTTAATGAAATCTGAGAGCTTTCTGTCCCTCTGTTGACACAGCTACGCAACCACCACTTTGACGCCTCAAAGATCATTTACAAATCGTAAAACTAATCCATATGAATTGAGCGGTTTAGTCCAAATTTTCTGAAGAGACTAGATCACTTTATTTGATTAACAGATTGAATTTAATCTTCTATTCACATATTATCAACTCACATCAGTTGTGGTAAAACGGAAAACCAAGCAAGGAGTGTTGGGGGTAATGCATTTCGAGTAACGCGAGTTACACATGGACTAATTATTAGTTAAGAGTTTATAATTATTAGAGTTTTTCAAGTATATTATTTTCAAGTACAGTAAAGCATTACTTTTATATTTACAACAAAATATCTATCTTTTTAAGTAACACAAGTTACTTTGTTTTCCCATTTATTGACTGACAGCTATTCTACACTAGTTTTAGATTTACTCATCTCATTTGCACAAAAACAGATTCAGCAGCCTATTCCTTAAAATGAATAAAAACAGTGAAATGCAAACTATTTTACAAACTGATTATAAATATTACGCAAACCTGCAATAGGCCTACTTATTGTTAAATTACAGAAATACATCCTACTTTATGTATTTAATCTCACTTTATTAATCAATGTTTTTGCTGCTGACCTCCGATGATCCAATTCAACAACACTAATAGTTTTGTTTTTATTGTTAAAGGTAGAGTGTTGAACTTTATTTTCCTGCGTCCTATTCTTCTGTGATCCGGAGCTGGAGCTGACGTGTTTCTGTGAGCCGCAGCCTAAGGGTTATTTATTTCTCTTTTGGTGTGAAAGAGCCTTTACATGTCATTTGCCACACAAACAGCCCAGCCTAGATGAGAAAAAGTAACGCAACAGTAACGTAACGTTTACTTGTTTTAGGGAGTAACGCAACATTGTAATGTATTATTTTAAAAAGCGTTTTCCCCAACACTGGCGAGAACCAATGAGGTTCATTCTTGTGTTATGAAGCACGTTTGAGCTTCCACAGCATCATTTTTACATAAATAATTACATTGTTACTAGAGCGAATGTCTGTTCTTGATATCAACGATTGAATTGCTACTGGTAAACATGTTGTTATTAGAGAGAGAGAGGCGCTGAACAGACGCATCTCTCTCTCTCTCTCTCTCTCTCTCTCTCTCTCTCTCTCTCTCTCTCTCTCTCTCTCTCTCTCTCTCTCAATAATTAATAAATGCTATATTCATTCATTAAACGCTTAGCGTCGGGCGTTTTTTTGCCTCCACGTCGCGCATTAAAATCATTTAATAGAATAGCTGTCAGTCAATAAATTAAAATCATTTAATGCACAGCTAGCCGTGGATTATCCTTTACATCGTGTATAGTGCGTCATTGGGCCACAACTCCGGGAATGAATCCGCTTTTAGCACTTCCGGTTCAGTCGTCCTGAAGTCACTGGGTTCCTTTCTTATGCTCTCCCTTTTCTTTTTAATCGGAGACGCTAAAATAAGAGGTTTCACATTTAATATGACTTAACTTTATATTATCTTGCTAAACGTCAGATGTAACAACGATATTTTCAATGTTTTGAGCAAAACAGGCAGACATAGCAAAATGAAATGCTCATTGCGTGATTTTAGTGACATTTTTTATTTCAATCAAGCCAAATCAGACAGTCGAAGCATCTAGATTTTGTCCAGCAAGTGACTCTCAAATCATATTTAGATGTTCATGCAAACAAATCACATGGAGACTGAAGCATGAAATGATTGGAAATAACCAAGTCCTCTTCAACAGTAAAACTGGCAGTGGAGGAACACATGTGGGCTGTGAAGCTCAGACATGGTTTATAGTGCAAATAACAAACCAATAAAAGTAAGATCCATATATTTAAATTCCATATATACAGATTCCATATATATTCAAGATTTTAATTCGCGTTTTAAATAAAAAAAAAAAAAAAAAGACAATGTGGTTGTTTATAAAACTTGCACAGAGTAAACAAGCAATACGTTACACAGGCAGTTACAGACACAGGCACTGCCTATACATTAGCACATATTCATAACATAATGAATGAAATAAAACGAGTGGTGTGCATGAGTGCTGAATCAGGTCAGGAGGAACACAACACCTCTCTGGAGCTCTGCCGGAACAATGCCCACGGGGTTTCTTTGCCATGGGAGGTCAGATTTCACTGCTAAATATGTGTCAAAGGATATCGAATACCTGAGAGAATAAGCCAGGTGGATTTCTGGCCTTTCCCACTAGGGTTAAAATCACTCATTACATTCAAATCTGTACAGACACAGCCTCCCATACAGCAGCCATCACACGCCAGTGTTTTCAACCGAAAATATGATGTCATGTTGCGTTTTGCAAGTAATATTTAGGCAGTTGTCATAGATTTTAAGAAAGTTTAAAGGGTTAATTCACCCAAAAATGACAATTCTGTCATCATCTGCTTCATCAGCTTCATCAAGGGCTGAGCGGTATTACCATGCATATCGTGGCAGTGATATAAATATAAAGTAATATGAAGTGCCTATCGATTATGGAAGGTTGTGTCCGCCATGGAATAAAAAAGGCTATTGTGACTTTATCTCATGAATTGACTTTTTTTCTCACAATTGCGAATTTATATCTCACAGTTAAAAGAAAACTCTCAATTTGCGGGATATAAACTCGCAATTCCAAGAATAAAGTAAGAATTGTGATATTAACACGCAATTACAAGAAAAAAGCCTGAATTTCAAGATATAAACTAGTAATTGCGAGGAAAAAAAGTCGGAATTCTGAGACATAAACTTGTAATTGCTAGAAAAATGTAAGATTTGTGATATAAACTTACAATTGTGAGATTTTTTTTTAAAATTGCAAGATATAAACTCGCAAAAGAAAAGTCACAATAGTGATTTAAACTTGCAATTACGAAAACAAATCTTGAATTTTGAGATATAAACTCCTAATTGTGAGAAAAAGTCAGAATTGTGAGATTTAATTTCATAACTTCATTTTATATTTAATTCATACAGACTATGCAGTGTTTTATTTTTTACATTTGATTATTCAATTTCTGCGGTATGTTGTACCTGAATACTACAGATAGACCTAAAGCACTGTTTGTTTCATTTGTGCCATTGTCACGATGCAAAAAGGCACCATAAAAGTAGTGCAATATTGTGATCAAGTCTGGTTCCACACAGGCTACTGCATATTGATTTTGGAGAGGGAGAGATTACTGATGAACGTCTTCACCCTCAGGGAAGACATGCAGTTTGGTCTGTACAGCATGACTTTAGTGCTCAAGTTTTATAGGCTACTTTAATGGACCTTTTTTTTTTTTTGAGTTTGGCAGCACCCATCTCCATTCACTTACACTGTACAGAAAAGAGCTGTGTGATCATGGACACATTCGTGGTCCACATGAGACGAGTTTTCATTTAAGGATGGACTGCTGCTTGAAGAAAGTGAAACATGCGTGATTTATACGAGTGTGTGAGAGGATGCTAAAAACATCCATGATTAAAAGCACATGAACCAAAGCTTCCAACATATACAAATCTAGTGATAAAGAGCCAGAAGACGCATGTATTTTTCATGAGTCTGTGCTTTTGTAGAGCTCCACTGTGCTTGAGCTCAGAGGTCTGCTGTTTCTCAGCGTCTTCACGGCCCCCGAACCCTGTGACGAGACAACCAACAGATCAACACCACTGCACTCATCTCACGCGCCGACCCAACCGGATCTCACTGCAGAACTCAACTGTGTTACGAGCTGCCGGTTTCATGTGATTTCGTACATTGTACAATCATATAAAAACGAATAAATGTTAGCAAGAAAAATAAGCATGAAGGCACAAGGGCGTATAAGCAGACTGTACGAATTCAAAAGAATTAGCCACCAAAAATGAAAACTATTATGGATTTCCATGAGATTGTGCTGTCAGCTTAGCTAACAGGGAACGTTAGGCTAACGTTCGCAAACGTTCTTCTAGTAATGTCAATAGAACATTCGTCTTTAATAACGTTAGCACAAAACGTTACGTATACAACGTTCGCTTAGCATTTTTTCTGAAATGTTTTAGTAATGTTTCGTTCAAAGAACATTCACAAGTAACGTTCCCATAATGTTCGAAGAATGATCCAGTGGAATGTCTCCTTAAAGGTGCAGTGTGTAATATTGACAGCTGGTGGTTGAAATAGGTACTGCAGTCAAAATACACAATATTGGAGAGGCATCCAATCCAATCCTTCCTCCTCAGACTCGACGCTCACAGGGTTGCCAGATTGAGGACACGCAACAGGAGCAAGTGCAAAGGACAGGTCTTACACTAGAAGTTGATGAGTTGATTTATGCATGTTTTAATATGCCATATTTAAGCGTAGAATCTGCAATCTCTGACTTTTTCACTGGCTTCAATGGCTGCAATACGCAGTGCGTTTCACCAACTGGCAACCCGGGGTGTCGAAATACTATTGGGTAAATTGGCAGTGGACGGGATCACAGAAAAAACGCACATTTCAAAGTATAATAACTGGTTGATGCATCGTTTTTCAGAGAAACGAGTATGTTCATTCATGTTTCCTAAACCTCTACAAACATATTACTGTATTTATGTGCTTTAGTACAGTCAAAAAAAAACAAAAAACATACTGCACCTTTAACCAAGAAAAAAACATAAAAAATTGGAAACATTCAGAAATAACGTTTTCATAACTTACTGGGAACGTTAGCTAACCGTTCTTAGATTATATTTTATGTTACCTGGGATCCCTAAATCATCTCACCTGAAAAGAGTCGTCTTCATCTCCATTACTGTTCAGGTAGCCGAGGGACGCGGCTCTCTTCATACTGTGTGGGAAGACAAATAACTCAGTCGTTGCATTGACATAACGTACCAACCCTTCATAGGCATCAGGCAGTGAAGTGTAGCTCATCACCGGCACAATGTAACACTCATTAAAGGGATAGTTCACTTTGAAATTAATTTTTGATATGTTTTAGCTTACCTCAAGGGCATCCAAGATGTAGGTGTCTTTGTGTCCGCAGTAGTTTCAATTTTGATATTTTTAGGTCAAACCGTTCTTGTCTGTCAGTCATATAATGCAGGTCTATGGTCACCACCTCAAAGAGGTGACGTACACGCGCGAGAGATCACTTCCGGCGCTTTCCGGAAAAGACCGAAGCGCCGGCGCCCTCAGATCACTTGGACGTGGCTGTGTTTACAAGAGGTAAAAACGATATAAATACTGTTCGTTTTCTCACACAAACCGCTCGTTTCGTGTCTTAGGCCATCAATGTGTACTTACATTTACGAGTCATTAAATCATGTTTAATTTGGACTTCTCTGTGCATGCTCTTTGAGGTGGTGACCATAGACCTGCATTATATGACTGACAGACAAGAACGGTTTGACCTAAAAATATCAAAACTGAAACTACTGCGGAAACAAAGACACCTACATCTTGGATGCCCTTGAGGTAAGCTAAAACATACCAAAAATTTATTTCAAAGTGAACTATCCCTTTAATCCCTGTGTTAGTGTGTCTCACTTTGAGTTGCGAGGTTCTGGTGGCATCGTTCCCTGGATCTTCTTCACCAGCATCTCGCTGCTTCTGCGCAGGACTTCCCTGAGCTTCCCGAAAGAGCCGCTTCTCCTGAGAGACCCATCCTGAACACACACACAGTCTCACCTTATAACCTCTGTTATATTTTGGATGAAAAAAATGTTTCCATTTTTTTTTCATGGAATAATGCAGTGTTTATTATAAATGATTTATCGGTGCACATCATTATTTTTTTAATTCATATTATAATCTTGAATCAGAGTAACTTCCTCTTGCAGCATCTCTTCTCTTCTCTGATGACGAGGGCGGGGCTATAACCTGTCAATCACATGAGATCAGCTAATAGCAAACCACAACCATCCAATCAATTCCCCACAGACACAATCAAGCCCCGCCCACATCTGTTCTTCAGGCGGGACATTTTGTCTTCGCCGTTTTGGTGATGTGAAGATTGAAATTTTGAACACAGAACACACTTATTATTGTGTTTTACCAGACCAACAAAGACAAAAAAAAACATTGGTATGACAAACACAATGTGGAAAGATTTGATGATAATGATGCCAAGTTGCTTCTTATTTTAAATGGAATTAATTATGGTGTTGACCACTCTTCCAGTTACTGCCCTCTGGGAGGCGTTATAGGACAATCGCCTCTAGAACAACTCGCTTCAAAAATAGTTTCATTCCAAAAGCAATACACCTTTTGAACTCTGAACGCTGAGGACTGTGGATTAAGCATGACCCCTTATGTATTATGTATTAATGTGTTTGTCTGTATGTATATGTATGTTACTTTATATGTTTAATGTTTACTGTTTAATGTAATGCTGGAACCTGTACCAAAGAGCTGTACTGAAAACAAATTCCACCAGCCTGGCTGTGTGGTCATTAAATAAATAATAATAATAATAATAAAACACACTAGTATCTGTGTAATTTACATAAAGCTCAGATACTATCATGCCGATCCTCGTCAATAGATGGCAGTGCAGCGTCTAACACCTACAGTTACACGAAGAATAGCAATGCTAACGTTAGCTAAAGAAATACTGAATGCACTTAAAGGTGCAGTAAGCGATTTCTGAGAAACTACCATGGCCTGTCCAAATACCAACACTTGCGGTTTTTGCACTTGACCACTTGTCTGCTTATATGACGTATATCCGGAGCTTGGCCACAGTGCGCGTGAAGATTTATCGTCTGCCTCATTACTTAAAGGTGCCCTAGAATGTTTTTTTATTTTATTTTATAATGTTTCCTGGGTTACCCTTATAATAGTAGTATGTTTTTTAGATAAAAAATAATCATAATTTAGAAATAAATGGCATTTTTCCTAGCCTGCTTTTAGCCTCTGATTTGAACACTCTGTTTGAAGGGGCGTGTCTGCTGTGGGATTCAGTGTAACCGCGGCCACTGCTGTGATTGGCTGTGGGATTCAGTGTAACCGCGGCCACTGCTGTGATTGGCTGTGGGATTCAGTGTAACCGCGGCCACTGCTGTGATTGGCTGACATGCTTGCATATGAAAAGCTACGCATTACATGTGAAACTCTCTCCCGAATACTTTTACTACTGCTATTATACGTTTTTACTATAACAGCTATCGAGATTAACGAATCGTGAGATGTTTTTAAAGTATTTAGATCTATTCCCATCACATAAAATGTTGCCGTGATGAGCATTGAGCAGATGACAGTGTGTTGATTGCGAGAATGAAGATCTTATCATTGCAAAGCAGTTTCTGCACTCTCTCTAATGCTTTCACCAATGCAAACACGATGATGTAAATACAGTAAGAGCTTCGTTGTGCAGTAACGTGCGTCATTGATTTCATAACGAGTTTGGCAAGTGTCCAGATAAACTCGCGCTGTGTGGAAAGATTGTTCTTTGATCGCTTTCTGTATATAATTTGTTCACAATTTAAATACGATTATTTTCATCCTACTAAAAGAAACGATGTGAAGTTGATATTTTAGTCACTGGCTTGACTTACTGATGCATAAACAGTATTGAACGATTTTGAGAGAAAGATTACCTGTCTGAACTTGAACAATTACACATCAGAAAGTGTTGCTTGGTAGCTCGATCCGAGGCCAGCTCTGTATTGGCCCAAGTTGAGGAAACAGTCGGTGAAATGTTTGGAAATTTCCAGAGAAAATAAAGTTAACCCATTGTTTCTTCAGAGGCTCAGATGAAGGAACTAAAAAATACTTTTGTGTTCATGTGTGCATCCACACTGAGCAACTGCCATGCTTCGGCTGCGCAGTTCCGCCTGGCATTGAGGGCTGGCATTATGCAAATATTTGGAGGCGTACATATTAATGATCCCGACTATTGCGTCACAGTCGGTATTGTGTGGAGAACCGACCGTTTTTCAGGGGTGTTTTTCATAAACGTGAATTAAATGAGAACGCGAAAACAGTCCAGTTTGAGATTCACTCTATGTCATGTCCACGCACTGAACTCTTGTTATTTGACTATACCAAGGTAAATTCAATTTTGAATTATAGGTCACCTTTAATCTCTGCCTGATAGTGGTGCTTCATTTTCAAACGTTTTACAAACTATATACTGTATATTCTCTGCACCATTTATCTTACACTGGAAAGTTTTCCTAGACATGACGCGAAATCACACCAGTTCCTGAGCGTGATGAATTACGGCATACTGTTAGCCTCAAAGAAGCGGTAGCAGAGATAGAGTGGATTTAGTGTGTGTTGAGTGTACAGCGCTTGGCTATTTTTCAGACCCAGGACAGTCTTGCGCACTTGTGGGTATTACACTTTGTTGATATTTGAATGCAACCAAAACAAACACACCCCTCCCTTCATTGCTCCGCCCCTAAAATGCACAAACATGCAATGCAAGGGTGGATGTTTCTTTGTCATAGCTGATGCGAAGCAAAATAATGCTTCGCAAAAAATAAAGAGAAGATGAACGAACGACAAGGAAACCAAAACGAACATACAGTACACAAGAGTATATACCAGCAAGAGTTGGTTGTTAGTGGCCAGCAGCACACAGTTAAAACCATGTTACTCACGTATGGAGCAGAAACAACGCAACCTCTGTGTCCATTTTCAGGCCTTCCTGCAGAGGTCTCTCCAGCGCTGAAAAGCTTTTCTAATATTAACACGGGTCCTAAAGCTCTTGCCTGATCATAACACTTCTTTTCCAGTGATATTCCTTTGAGCTTTTCTCTTTATTAATGTCTCTCAGCATCTCTCTTTCTACAGTCTTTCTTCAAATCTCTCTCTTGCTCACTCTCTCTCCTCCACCATCATGAGTGGACACTCCCCCTACTGCTGATTGGCTCACTTTCTCTCTCTTCCCCATCATGAGTGGACACGCCCCCTACTGCTGATTGGCTCACTTTCTCTCTCTTCCCCATCATGAGTGGACACGCCCCCTACTGCTGATTGGCTCACTCTCTCTCCCCCATCATGAGTGGACACGCCCCCTACTGCTGATTGGCTCACTTTCTCTCTCTTCCCCATCATGAGTGGACACACCCCCTACTGCTGATTGGCTCACTCTCTCTCTCCTCCACCATCATGAGTAGAGGATGGATACCCGAACCGAGCCCGGAGACATATTTTGAAATGACGTTCGGGTTCGGGCTCAGTCACGTCGGCGCAATAAGGCATTGAACATTTGAAATTTAAAACAGCTTATTATAATACTTAACTGGATGCAAATGTTTGTTTTTGTGATTAAAATAAATTTAAAATATCACCCTAACATCCAACTTCATGTGTGCGGAAATTTGTTTATGTTGCTGTGACAACGCACAACACGTGCGTGCATAATATTGCATATTTGGCTACATGTGTCTGGCAGCGCAACGATGGAAGACGTTAAAAATAAGTTTGCCTCAGGAGATTTTAAAACCAGCCTAAACATTGAAGGATGGATTATGTGAATAGATCCCATGTTACAGTTTTATTAGCCACACAGTTTTCGAGAAAAATGGTAAGAGTGATTTCCATTTCAATAAGCTGCATTTGTGTTACGTTAATGTTTTGTTCTGTTAGCTTTGGCAATTTTTGGTAGACCTAGCTTTGTTCATTTAATTTCAATTGGCTATTTGTTTGGGCCTCTTGTGCGCGCCTGTGTTAACATGCGCTTTGTTGGCCGTGTGCGGCGCACGCTGATGCGTTGCGCACATCTGTAAACATTTCCGAATGCCTTCCAGTTGCTAAATAAAAGCGGGCTTTCTACACAAACAAACGTACGTGTCATTAGTATGAGAAAAAAATGAGATTTTTAACTGTGTCGGGCTCGGGTCGGGCTCGGACATAAATATCTTAATGCCTGTCGGGCTCGGGTCGGGTTCGGTTACTGCCCTGTCGGACGCGGGATGGGCTCGGACAGAAAAATGCGGCCCGATCCGCACTCTAATCATGAGTGGACACTCCCCCTGCTGCTGATTGGCTCACTCTCTCTCCTCCCCCATCATGAGTGGACACTTCCCCTACTGCTGATTGGCTCACTCTCTCTCTTCCCCATCATGAGTGGACACTCCCCCTACTGCTGATTGGCTCACTCTCTCTCTTCCCCATCATGAGTGGACACTCCCCCTACTGCTGATTGGCTCACTCTCTCTCTTCTTCATCATGAGTGGACACTCCCCCTACTGCTGATTGGCTCACTCTCTCTCCTCCCCCATCATGAGTGGACACTCCCCCTACTGCTGATTGGCTCACTCTCTCTCTTCCCCATCATGAGTGGACACTCCTCCTACTGCTGATTGGCTCACTCTCTCTCCTCCTCATCATGAGTGGACACGCCCCCTACTGCTGATTGGCTCACTCTCTCTCTCCCCCATCATGAGTGGACACTCCCCCTACTGCTGATTGGCTCACTCTCTCTCTTCCCCATCATGAGTGGACACTCCCCCTACTGCTGATTGGCTCACTCTCTCTCCTCCCCCATCATGAGTGGACACTCCCCCTACTGCTGATTGGCTCACTCTCTCTCTTCCCCATCATGAGTGGACACTCCCCCTACTGCTGATTGGCTCACTCTCTCTCTCTTCCCCATCATGAGTGGACACTCCCCCTACTGCTGATTGGCTCACTCTCTCTCTTCCCCATCATGAGT